TATATTTATATATGTATGTATATATATATATATATATATATATATATATATATATATATATATATATATATATATATATATATATATATATATATAGTGTGACAGAGACACATTGCTCAGAGAACAAAAGGGGGAACGCAAACAACAGGATTTAGTTTCAATTATATCAAACTTTTGTAAAATCCAACTGTTGATGTAGGAAGCAAAACTGATTGATTTACAATCTGTTTCAAATGCTGTTGTGCAAATAGAATAGACAACAGCTGGAAATTATAGGCAATTTGTGAGACACACTCAATAAAGGATTATTTCTGTGATGGGACCCACAGACCAATTCTCAGTACATATGATTTCTGGCTGATGTTTTGGTCACTTTTGAATGTTGGTAGTACTTTCCCACTCTTTGTAGCATGAGCTGTAACCTATAACCCAGAGATGTTCATCCAGGATGACACATCAATGCAAGCTGTAGTTAAAAGATTTGCTGTGTCTGTCAGTATAGTGTCCAGAGGCTTCAGGTGTTATTATGACACATAGAGGAGGCCATAGGAGGGATATAATCCTGCTGACCACAAATGTGCATTTGTGTACAGAAACGGTTAGAAACCGACTCCCTGAGGATGGTATGATCAGGGTCGGAGCTAGATGCGGGGCCATGGCCACCCGTAAGCAATCATTGGCCACCTCTGTGGCCACCCCTACCATTTTTTCCCTCTAATACAGACAGTGGCAGCAGTAATACTCTCAAGGGGAATGTTCAATCTTATTAAACATTTACATTTTTTATATATTAACAATTGCTATCAATATATCAATATCAGCATCAATATACTAACATTAAAAATGATAAAGGCAGAATTCACACTCTTTTTAGAACTAAATTTTGTGTTATTTTGGGTAAATAGAAAGTTATGTGTCTCTGTAAGTCATCTAGGAGTCTTCAGTGAAATCATAGATAAATAACTACTTTAATAACTTAAAAATTCATTTAATAAGGATATTAGTACATTTAAATATATATTTTTTGCAGAATTATTATTCCTAAAAGTAGGTAATGACAATGTAAAATATGTTCGTCCCAGAGCTCAAACCTGAAAGAACTTTGTCCACTATACCTTTTATTTAGACGCCATGGATGTTTAAATATATGTGTCTATTTGTTAGCAAAGGAAAGTTTAGTTCGTTTTTATTTAGAAAATATGGATGTTGTACGTGTTCTTGTTGGAATAGTGTAGATTGACCCTGAGGGTCTGGCGCCTTTTGGCCACACCCCTCACTGTACATTGGTTATTGACTGGCCACCCCATTAGGATTTTATGGCTATGCCTCTGGGTATGAGGGCTTGATGTCCACAGATGGTGTATGTGCTCACAGACACATACACTTTTCAAGACACTTGACATTTGCCCAAGAACACCACGATTGGCACATTCACCACTGGTGCCCTGTAGCCTTGACAGATAAAAGCAGGTTCAAACTGAGCACATTTGAAAGACGTAAAAGAGTACAGAGATACCATGGAGAGTGATCTGCTGCCTGCAACATCTTTCAGCATGACCAAGTGTTTTAAGAAGGTCATACAGGCACAATCATTCAACTTAATTTGGACATATTTGGACATGTTTTAAGGACATTACCTAAGATCTTAGTAAACTTTATTTAAGCATACAGTACATGAAGATCATTAACATCTTGCCTTTTGGGAAATAAAGATGCAGTACATAAAAACAAACAGAATATAGTTTTATTTTGTGCTATTTAGTGCACGATTTGTCAATATGAGTATAGAATCAGGACAGTATTCTTTAAAATAACTCTAGTATTACAATTAAACATCATTTTGCTGACATCTTACCCAATAAACACTTCTTTGAGTTTTGCTCTGGCCTCAGTAAAATAATATAGCATTTTGGAGCAAAAATACAAAGCAGCAAACCAAAACTTGAGGCCAGGATAGCAAATATTTCTACAGCTACAGTAAACTTTCCTGGTGAACTAACATAAGCTGGAATAAATGTGATCCACACTGAGCAGAATATCAGCATACTAAATGTGATTAGTTTGGCTTCATTAAAATTGTCTGGGAGTTTTCGGGCAAGAAAAGCAAAAATAAAGCAAAATGCCGCAAGAATTCCAATATAACCCAATACTGCCCAGAATCCAATTTTTGAGCCCAGATCACACTCCAGAATTATTCGGTCTTTATAGTACTGCATATTCATGTTGGGGAAAGGAGGATTAGTTAACAGCCAAACTAGACAAATGAGAATCTGAATGAGAGTGAAGATAAGAACACTGACTCTTTGCTGTGTATGTCCAAACCACTTCATTACGTTGCTGCCTGGAAGTCTTGCTCTGAAAGCCATCAGAACCACTATTGTTTTTCCGAGAACACATGAAATGCAGAGGACAAATGTAATGCCGAATGCAGTGTGTCGAAGCATGCAAGACCAATTAGTGGGTCGACCAATGAAAGTCAGAGAGCAGAGGAAA